TAAAAGTACTCACAAAAACGGGTTGTGGCTGTTGAGTTCACCCAGTTCCTGGATCCCACTCATGGCCTGCCCAGCACAGGAGGCACACCAGAACACGTTTCATAAACGTTACCTCTTGTGTTGTAAGAGAGACTTGATCTTTTGACTCTTAAAGAGAGAGAAACAGGGTTTTTTTCATCTCTCCTTACGGTCTCACGAATATTTGCTGCTTTTTGTTGCTAAAACCAAATCTGGTTTAGGCTTCTTATTACAACAACAAAGTAGAGCTTTGGGCAGTCACCCCGAGTGTTGCATCAATAAGTTTTCTTTCAGTAGTATAAGTTTCAATGTCACCCACCTTTGACATGACATTGCCGTGTTAGATGCAGGAAATGAAAGGAAATGCATCTGTTGATCTGTTCTTAAATTTACATTTTTCTTGTCTTTGTATGGGTAGGATACAGCTCTATTGCTGGTTGCAAGTGGTGTTTCAAGCTGTAGATCACGAGCAGAGTGTGACCATGGGTTGGTTCATCCTCCCGCATCCTGAGAGATGATGGAGCAGCCAAGAGAAGGGACCAGCTTTTTCCTCCTGTAAATCAGCACCAGAGGGAGCTCAAACAGACCTTGTCAGGCGATATCCGTGTCCTCTGCTGGCATCGGAGATCTGATGGTCCCCAAACCCTGGGATATTTGTCAGGGCCTGAGGGGAGCGAGCATTAGTGGGACAGTCACACATCCTGTCCATTTTGTTGATGTGCGACTCGTTCGCGATCTGATGCTCCATCTTGTGATCCTTCTTTGACGCTGGCCAAGGACAACACTGCCAACACGAGCATGACCCGTTCATCCCTGCTTCCGTACTGCCTCTTCCTTGTACCAGCACAAGAGAAGTGCTAGGAAATGGCTACAGATAATGAGAAGAAGGCAGTTTTGTGCTTCACAGTGGTGAGGCTGAACTTGATAAAGTAAAAATGTGTGTATATAGTGGGTTTGAGCTCATCTGACAGCTCACTGCTCTGAGCTTGCTCTCAGTTCTAGTTATTTCTGCCTCTTCCTTGTACCAGCACAAGAGAAATGCTAGGAAATGGCTACAGATAACGAGAAGAAGGCAGTTTTGTGCCTCACAGTGGTGAGGCCGAACTTGATAAAGTAAAAATGCGTGTATATAGTGGGTTTGAGCTCATCTGACAGCTCACTGCTCTGAGCTTGCTCTCAGTTCTAGTTATTTCTTTGCTTTCCTGATCCTCTGTCATTGCTGCATCCCTGCCTGTTTCTCAGCTCTTCGGTTTTATTTTCCTGGCACTTTGAACCAACCTCAGCTTCCACTTCGATCTATATCTTTACACTCTCCTTGGCTTCCAGAGAATTTCATTCACAGACTTCTAATTAAATCTCAGTCTACCTCCTTACTGTTTCTTCTTTGTTCCCTACATTTATGATCAGTCCCCACCCCTTCCCCTCTGTTTTTTTTTTTTCACAAATCTGTATCCTCCATCCTTGTTCATGACGTCCATGACTCAGTCCCTGTTTCCATACTCATTTTCCATCACCATTCTCTCGTAGCTCCCAGTCTATTTCTCCTCCAATTCTTTCACCATTCCAAATGACCATTTCCCAGTCCCCAGGCTCCAAATGCCTATTTTTCTTGCTGAACCAGTCCATGCCTGTCTGTCTTGTTTCTGGATGTCCTGTTTAGGCTGTCATTCCATGAACAAACAATTCTTTCAGGGCAGTGCTGTTTTGATTTTGTTTTTTGATTTTTTTGCAGTGCATTTTTATGCCTGATAAGTTCCCTGATCCAATTTATTGCACAGCCAACACAAACAGTTGTACCAACATAATGGAGGGAGCAGTATGAAAGAATCATGAGACAGAAAACATGTACACTTGCATTGTGAAAAAGTGCCTGTATATCCAATTTTCTTTCATAGATAATTTTATTTTCTTCTTTCCATCTCACATAGCCACTCCTAATTTCTTTCTTCCTCTGAGGCTCATCAGACTGCATTTCAAGTTGCTCCTTTCACCTCAAATCTTTTTATTTATCCTCTCTGCATTCAGAGCAAATTAAATTCTTATTTCAGGTTACCAGGGCACCAGTGGGTGAAAGTGGTTGATGTGAGGAAAAAAAATAACTAAAAAAAAAAGAATATCTTGAATGTGATGTTAATTCTCAAGCTGAAATGGGTTGCTTTGTAGTAGTAGCATGCACTCTTATTTATCATTCATCTCTTTGTTTCCTTTCATCTTGAACTTACTGTTACAGATTGTTTTCTTTTTTTTTGCCCTCCTTGGTGCTGAAATGGATTTGCATGTCCCGGATAAAGTCATTCTCATTAAAATAGAGCCAAAAGAAGTGGATCTGTGATGCTGCATCATTTGCCCTTGTTCTGTGTTTTGCAGTAAAAGCAACTAAAAGCTTCATAAAGCTCATTTGGAGGTCTCAATTCCTGCCAACCCTTGGTCAGCTAAAACTGGAATTTTAAAATTAGTTTGTTTTGCACCATCACAAAGGTCATTGCTCTTTAACTGGAGGTGTTCCTGTTACTCTTCAGTTATGTGATTTAGTTGCACCTCATCTCATAGTCCTTGACTATTCATGAGTTAATAATGCCCTTTCCCCACCAAATATTTCCCTGTCCTTTCACTCTTGGAATCAGTGTTTGAAATCTTAAAAGGAGGCATAGGTCTGTGTTGTGGGAAGCTAAATTGCCAGTACAATTAAATCTATTCTATGGATAAGTCATTGTTGCTGTGTAAACTGTGCAGTCTCTGCATGTTCTAATCTGTCTTGGGAAGGCTGGAACCTTAGCTGGTCTTTCCTCCCTCTAGCCAGTGTGTGCTGAGCCAGTGAGGGTGTCTGTATCGAGCTGCTTGCTTAGTGGGCACTTATTTAAGTTCAGTACCACATGAATGTGGCTAAATTACTTCTACATTCAATATGTATGGCACCATATCCAAGTGAGCAAGTCAGACCATAGCCCTGCTCCCTGACGAGGACAACGCCAGCTCCAGCTGATGCCCGTCAGATGGGTTAAGACTCTGAATTTCTCCTTCACTAGGATATCCCATTATTCCAGAGGATGTGAAAAGTTGATTGATATGAGGAAAGCTTAAACCACCACATAGGTCTCCTGACAGCAGTGATTCTTTGGAGTCTGAGTGCCTGCGTCATCCCTTTTTCAGCTGAGTGTTTAAGTCTGTGCCTGCTAGAACTGGGAATAGCCCTCACTGCTAAAGCAGGATGGCAATGAGATTGCACCAATCTATGGCCTCCCATTCTGTGTATGCACAGAAGATCTGACTCTTCAGTAATAAGCTTCAAATGCTTGATTAACGTCATTATTTCTTTATATACCAGCCTATACCATATACATTTCAAATCAGTTGTTGGACAAAACAGGCCTTTCTACTATAAAAAGATAACTGATGTACAGAAGGTGGCTAGTGTGATAATGCATTAATAATATACTGAGGTTCTGTGCAGGGGTTGTTCCTGGCAGTGTGGTGCTGAATAAAATGCGCCTGTTTGGATATCTTCTCTTAGTGCTAGACACAGTGATGATTGAATGCCAGGTCGGTTTGTGTTCGGGGAATATCGTGCTGGATAATGCTCATTTGAAGTGTTTAATGGAACATCCCAAATAATTCTCGGTGTTCAGTCGTGGGACCGGCGCTGCCTCCGGGTTACAAAAGCAGCTGGAGCTCAGAAACCCCTGAGAGTGATGACGACTCGGAGCCTCTGCCCCTGCCCAGGGAAGCAGATGGAGATTCCGAAGAGGACTCGGAAGGAGTTCCGGCACCCAAGTTAGTGTGTTCTTCGGTCTTTGATGCATTTACCACATAAAATTACACAGAAATTAGAGTTGGAGTGTAACTCTGTAAAATAAGAGAAAGAGACAATATCATACAAATATTTTTTTTACCTGAATTTGGCCTTACATGTGCTGTACTGCTTTGCACCAAGGTCATAAGAACTATTCATGGGCGTGAGTTTATATATTCAATTATATCAACTGGGATGAAAGAATTGAGTTGTTGAGCAAATAACAGGCATCTTCACATACCACAATTTAGTGGAATGGATTACTCACGATTGCTGTGTTAAGATCTTGTGTCTGTTTGCATTAGGTCTTATATATAAGGATCTTGAAGGACACAATGCTGTTTTAATGAGCACTGGAGTACATACTAATGACTTTTCTCCTGTTCTTTTATCCACCATTTTTTCAGTCTCAGTAGAACTGGTTTGGGAAAGCTAGTAGTCAAAAGGCAGCAGACAAGTGTGGAAAGTGTGCTGAATATAAGATTACTGGCTGAATAGAAAATGGTATTTCAGCATTATACTCTTCTTCTTTCTTCAGCAAAAGCACTCTGAATATATTTTTTAAATGTTGGAGTGTTTTTGGAGTGAGGCTTATGCTACCAATTTTTTAATTGCTACAAATTATTTTGGATCCTTTGGCACTGTTTCCTTGGAAACAGCAAGATATTTAGTACATAAGACTATCTGAAATGGTTTTTATGTTTCTTTTTTCCTTTTCAAAATGTAGGTAATTGTCTCGTATGTCAAGATAATTATTAAGTGAAATCCTTATATTTACAGAAAGCCTAAAGGAATTCAGGAAGATGATGATGATGATGGATTTTTTGGACCTGCTCTTCCTCCTGGTTTTAAAAAACAGGATGATTCTCCAGAGAGGTAATTTAAATGGAGTAATACTCAGGATTGTTTCCTTAAAACACAATTATTTAATATAAAATATTTTGTGGCACTGTGACAGAACGATTCAGTTTGCCTTGAAAGAGAATTCATATTGCTCCTAGTACTGTTTGGAAGGTTGGAGAGAAAGATAAAAAAAATAATAGAAATTGTCTGATTTATATTTTGCATTTCAAGCTACTTCTGTTTCTTATGATATCTCAAAAAATTGTAGGACAAACAAGCTACGGGTACAGGGACCCATATTTATGTAGTTCATTCTGGCCAGACAGAGAAGGATGCTTAGTTTTTGTGTGTCATAGCACAGTGCAGTGCTGTTGATTTGCTAGTGCACTGAGGATTACTGTCTCCATGTCTGCGGGTGGAAAGCCAGTCTGAATCCTCTAGATTTTTAGAAGGCCAATTGTCATGTCTGAACAAATAAGTTATTTATAGCCCTTATCAGTAAGCTTTCCATTTGATTGCACATGTTTGTAAAATAGCTACAGAAGAAAGCTAGTTATGAATTCCATTCATAATTTAACCATGTCTCTCAGCCCCCTACTCTTGCACTTTCTTGTATAAGTTGAAATGATTATCCATACTGACATCACTGCTTCCAAGGGAAGGCTCCTTGATGAAAGGTGGTTGAGTCTCTTGATCACTGTTTTCTTCCTGAGAGCCATAGGCAGCTGACATAAATAAATCAATACCCACTTGTCAGATATGAGATGTCACTTCTGGGAAGGTGAGCCAATATGTTGTTAAGCTGTGCTCAGTATTTCCTTAAAATAAGGGAAGTCACTAAAAATAATATTAAATCTAATAATACAACATAAATAAATGCTTGTACCTTTTGGTATTAGGTGAGGGAGCCTTCTTGATTTTAACACGAATGCTGCTGTGGTAAATTGTGATGCAGAAGGGAAGAGGAAGAGAAAAGGTAACTGGTAGCCTGAAAGCTGGAGAGATGAACAGTAATACAAGCGCTCTCCCATTGTGTAGTCCTAATCTTTTGCATACTCATCCAACTTTTATTTCTGCATAGGAGTTTATTTCCAAAATGCTGCATATCTGCACTT